GAATGGCAAGGGAAGTTTACAAAAATGGACATCAGTTCCAGACAGTGGATGCCCTTCGTGAGGCCATCTTCAACACCTGGAGCAACATTCCCGCTAGCCTCCTGGAAACACTTGCATCAAGCATGCCTAAACGATTGTTTGAAGTGATCGACCACAATGCTGGACCAACTCACTACTGAGTCCTTTTTTTGACATTTCAATTTGACATGGTCTTAAACTTTTGATCAGCTGGTGAACAGCCTATTTCAGTTAACTTGTTGTTTTTAATAAATTGGCTGCTCGAAATCTTTTGTCTCTTGCTCCTATTTCTTCTTTTACCATGTGAAGCTCTACTTAGAACCTTCTTAAGATCCAATAGTGCAAAGTGAAAATTCTTGCAATTTTTTAACTGGTCTTAAGATTTTGATCAGGAGTGTATGTAATAATATATAATCTTGCTGTTTTTAAAGTGATTTATTGAAGAACAAGGCTGCGCTCTCTCTGTCCTGTATCTGTTTTGCACATAGAAAAGTTTTCTGCCATGTTTATACTGTAAAAAACTGCGCATGATAAAAGTGTCCCTGGGGTGGCCCAATATTTTTGTGATGATTTATGTACAAAATAAAGCCTTTCAGTTGAACCTGTTTTAAATGTGAAGTCTGCTGGTCTTTATTTCATACATTTCACTCTAAAACTGTTCACATGTGGACCTTACAGCGATACTCACCCGATAGCAGCACACAGAAAGGGAAACGTTGCCATAGTGACAGCAACATTTTAGCTGTATTGATTATTTGAGGTTAAAAGATCAGGAAGACGCTCTGTTCTCTTTTTTTTTGTTGTAGAATACTAAAAAACAGGAAAGCAAGACTTTAATTAAGAGTTCAATTCAGAGTGTCAGAAGAGGAAAAGCACTAAATCTCTACTGAGCTGCGTCCCATCAGGACAGGAGTCCAACACCTGAGATCTACAGCAGTCGGTCTCAGAGTCAGTCCTGGTGACCCAGCACTCTACATTTTTATGTTTTCTTACTCTAACGCATCTGTTTGTGCCCTGATCAGATGTTATAAGGCACACTAGAATAGCTTACATTTAGACATATACATTAATACTATCATAACATACGAGAACACAAACCTGTAACCATAGCAATAATACACATCCATCAGAATTCACAGATAAATATGTGTAAGATGACACAGCACAAAGTTAGTAGAGCTGCAAAACAAGATATACAAGACATCCATGAAGTAACTCAGCATGTATAACCAGGAGGGAAAGAAAGGAGACAGAATATGGCAAAACAATTAAGATTATAGTAAGATGACAAAAAACGTTTTAATAGAAAAAGCTGACTGGCTGAAAACGTCTAAAGGAAACAGCAGAGTCTCCTCACACTGCACCTCTGGTAGCCTGGGAAGTTTCAGTGTTCTGTGTAATAAACACTTTAATACAAATACAAATAGTTTAACACTGTACAGTGAGATTCAGTGTGTCCTGCCAAGCTACTGGAATAATAACATTTCAAACACTTAACAACACAAAAGAAACAAAAACCGAGCAAATGAGTGTCTCAGATGTTGATGTGTGTAGTTCCTGGGTGTGAAGTAGTGGTATATTTCTGTTCGGGATGAGGGTCCCTGGCTGTATTGCTGGGGTGATAAAAGTGCGGTCAGTCAACAGTGAAATGTAAACAAAGCTGCAGCAGTACAGGTACCCGGCGTGCAACTATAATGTGAACATATATGCTTTCTAAAATGGACAGTGGGCTACAAGCAGTGCTCGAAGTGGGCTGGTACTCAGTGTTGGCTTGGCTCCAGAAGGGCACAAAGAGGATGCATGAAACACGACGACACAATAGAGCCGATGTTACTGAACATCACTAAACTGGAACAAACAGAATAAACTGTGTTTTCTCCGCGTATTAAACTCTGCGCTCTGTGCCGCTCTTCAGCTGCATCGCTGATACGCATGCGCACACGTTGCTGGGTAACAGACAAAAGCAGCCGAGCAGGAAAGGAAACGAAACTGAAAGTTGACTCTCCGTTTAAAGGGACTGATAATGAGATAATATCTGAGTAATAATGAGACTGATTTCTTTATTTTGTCACCTGTCGCGCTCGGACGACACTATAAGTCACCGTTTACTGTATTTCCTGTGTTTATAACCGTTAGTAACGGAAGGTATTACACAGTTTAGCTCGACACTCAGCTGGGTGAGACCAGCAGGGGTTCTGATGAGACCTGAGCGCGAGTTTACAGGCAGAGCTCTACATTAAACTGTAGGTGGGATATTTTCATGGACTAAATCACACGAAGAAGAGGTCAGCTTCTTGTTCAGATTTCCCGTTCCACCTTAAATGGCGCAGCAGGTCCATTCTGGTATACATAATAATGTTACTGAGAGCTGTAATTTACTGTTCATATTACATTCTTCACAAATCTGTTAACAGAACACCATATAGAATTAATCTTTGGCCATTTTCTGCTGTATTTTTAGCCATTTTCATTATTATATGTGGCTGTGTGATATTAACTCGCTATAACATCATTGTTACTGTAATACGTACAGACATAATGCTTCAGGCTATATTTAATGTTATATTTTACAAAATATAATATAATATAATATAATATAATATAATATGCTCATGTCAGCACCAAAGCCAACCTGCTTTTTAATAGTCTGAGCTTACTGTTACATGTCTCTGGGCCAAAGTTGTGTCCTTTAAACAGCATTTCTGCAGATACCTTTTTCCACATTTCTACTTTCTTCAACATGGGAGATTAAAAGTCTTCAGCCATTTGTTACGTTAGATCAATGAGAAGCAATGTTGCTCATGTGTCCATGGTTTTGTATCTACATTAGACATTTAAAAACATTAGTCGTGGAAAATATATCAGTGCTTAAATTGTGTTAGGAAAGAGGAATGAACATTTGTTGGCGGTTGGGGGATGGAGATTGGTACTGGAGCAGAGGCAAGTGATGGTCAAGCAAGAGACAAATTGCAAATTGCTCCCCTCTGACCCTCACAGGACCCCCCACAGAGCAGGTATTGTTTGGGTGGTGGGTCATTCTCTGGTGGTGGTGTGTTAGTGTGTGTTGCGCTGGTCTGAGTGGATCAGACACAGCAGTGCTGCTGGATTTTTTAAACACCACTCACTGTGCACTCTATTAGATGTCTCAATATTATTAATAATAATAATATCCATGATCATTTCTATAATAATTTTAATAATAATATCAATAATATCATTAATAATAATCTCAAAAATAATCATATTTATTGTAATTTCATTGTAAAAATAATAGGAATAATTTACTAAATCTGTTTACTGTGCCACTCCACAGAATTCTGTGGATTAAGTATATGTGTCTGTTAGAGGAAGTGAAATCAGTCTAACTTACGTATTTGCACTGTCTGTTTACTGGAAAGAAAAAAAAAACACCCTTTAAACCGCAGTTAAGAGCCAGCAGACAGTTTCCCATCAAAGAAATCTGAGAGAAGACACTGAACCTGCACTACGACCTGTGATCAACAACAGAGTCCCATTTACTGAGGAAACTCACTGAAACTCATTTATCATCTGGACAGAGTGACCTGAACACTGACCTTCACTTCCTGCCAGCTTTGGTCACTGTGAGTTATTATTTACTCTTCATTTACTGCACTGATCTGATTCAGTAGAGCTGAAATGATGATGATAAAGTAGCTGAAATGTGGTTTAACGATAGCAGTACTGGTGGTGTCTGGTTTCCTAGTCAGAACTTTATGCTGACCTTCAGCTGTAAGATGATAATGTAGTAGTTTCACAGTGGCACAGAAGAGAAATTCTGTCCTCTGTGAATCCACAACATAGTAAAAACACTCTGAGCATCAAATTGTAAGTTCTGCGCACCGACATCAGCTCCATCGTTCATTTGATTATACGTTTTTAATGTTTCTCTAGCTCGAGCGCATGCAGCTATTGGAGTAGCTTTGAACAAACTCCAAGGGTAATGTGAGTCTTCTTTAATAATCTGTGGAAACAAGTTTACCTAGCCTTCTTGGGGCCCTAAGAATTTCCACATATCTCCATCCTCTTGGTTTGCTCTCACCCCTTATCCCCTGTCCTGCTGCTAATCATCAGGTTACCTCTGTGGCTCTTTCATTATATTGTTGGAATCTCTTACGTTTATAACCTTGCTACACAGATAATGGGACTTATGAGTTTTAACTTGTAGAAACATCCTCCTGTGAACTAAACATGTTTGATCACTCACTTACTTTAGTGAGACGTGAGACCACAATAGAAACCTGTACTAGTAGAACAACATGTAGCAACCTGCACCTTATTATCTCACCCCACCTCACTGTCAGAAAGCTTTTATATTCATTTTTCAGTGCCAGACGGTGTGCTATGAAAACTGTTGGACAGTAAATTCTCGGTGGATCTTTTCAAAGGAGCCACACCAAACAGGAGAGAATCAACAGGTGAGCCACATTTACTGCCTATTAGCAAAGATCTGCCCATCTGTTTGCTGATTTATCTTCGATAACCATACAGTATAGCCAATATAAAGGAGTACTTTATGGAAGATACACCTAGTACAGCTAATACAGAGCAGTATGTTACAGAAGATACTCACAACGCAGCCAATACAGAGCTGCAATGTGTGTATCTTCCATGACATACTGCTTTGTTTTGGCTGCAATGTGTGTATCTTCCATGACATACTGCTTTATATTGGCTGTACTGTATAGTTATGGAAGATAAATCCTTGTTGCAATTCTCACCACTTGTGTTTTTGGGTCTTGGTGTTTGCTTCAATAATTTATAAGGGCTCCCACTTCAGTAACTCTCCTGGTCAGTACTGATGGTGTGTGTAGGTCAGTTCTGTTCTCTCTTTCTCTCTTCTCTCTCTCCTCTCCTGGTCAGTACTGATGGTGTGTGTGTGTCTGTAGGTCAGTTCTGTTCTCTCTTTCTCTCTTCTCTCTCTCCTCTCCTGGTCAGTACTGATGGTGTGTGTGTGTCTGTAGGTCAGTCATGCAGTCCTGCAGTTCTGCTCTCTGTATCCTGATCTTACTGATCTCTACATTCACTGCTGGTAAGATCTGCACTGTCACTCCTTTATCATCTTATTAAAGACGTTATATTCCTTTTTGGCTTTTGACCAAGTTTTTAGGCATGTTGGATCTTAAGATTTGATCTTGTTGGTGACAGTAATAACGCACTCTTCAAAAAAAGAGAAACATAGTGAAGTTGGTCAGTTATTATTATATATTCCTTTTGATCCATTTGTCCTTTTCTCTCTTTCAGTGACTGAATCAGCTGTTCCTACAGTGAAGGTGAATCTTCATGACTGTGCTACTCTGTCCTGCTCTGAGAGATGCTCTGGTTTGGTCAGATGGACTGTGTTCAGTAAACCTGGAGATGTTCTGGCTGAGTGTGATCAGACTTCATGCAAATCAGTGAAGGAGGGATATCAGATGATCCACGATCAGTACCTGAAGGGAGATCTCTCTCTCATCATCACCGACGCTGATTTTATTAAGAGAAACAGGTACACGTGTGACTGTGATGGCAAAGACATCTGTGACGTACATCTTCAGATTGAGTGTAAGTGGTTATTTGTGGCCTTCACTGACCACACAGGACTCTAGAGCTTTACATATTTAAGAAAAGGTTCCCCAAACTGTTCCACAAAGCTAGAAGTGTACATTTGTCCAAAATGTCTTGGTGCTGAAGCATTAAGATTTCCCTTCACTGGAACTAAGGGTTCTAGACTAACCCCTGAAAAGCTGGCACAGTGCAGTCAGGCAAGAAACGTTCTCCTGGCATTCGCCAAACCCAGACTCGTCTATCAGACTGACAGATAGAGAAGCTGACTAGTTACTCCACAGAATACGTTTCACTGCTCCAGAGTCCAGTGGCGGCACTTTACACAACATCCGACGCCTGGCATTGTGTATTTTGATCTTAGGCTTGAGTGCAGCTGCTATGGAAACCCATTTCGTGAAGCTCCCAACATGCAGTTCTTTTGGTGATGTTGCTTCCAGAGGCAGTTTGGAACTCTTTTGTGATTGAACAGAGGATAGTCACTGTGCTCTTCAGCACCCAGATGCTTCCATTTCACAGTAATAGCACTTACAGTTGTCTGGGGCAGATCTAGTAGGACAGAAATTTCTCAAACTGACTTGTGATAGAGGCGGCATGCTATGACAGAGCCATGCTTAAAGTCACTGAGCTCATCAGTACGACCCTCTACTGCCAGTGTTTGTCTATGGAGACTGCAAGACTATGTGCTTAATTTATCTATCCACCTGTTAGTCATGGGTGTGGCTGAATCACCTGAACTCAATAATTAGGAGGGGTGGCCCAATACTTTTGCGTATATATACATACAGGGAGATTCACTCGAAAGAGGCCCCGAATATTCTGTAATAACAGCGTCCCTGCGTCGGACTGATGAGGTAGGCGCCAGACAGCCTTTCGAGACATTTAACCTCTGTTTGCTACTTCTGGATGTATATCCCAGTACCCCTTCATGTGTCTGGCAGAAAACACTCATCACTTCCAGCATCGAATGGAATGCAATCGATTACACATATGTGAAGCTATGTAGTGTATTTTATTGGTTCAGATTGCTTCATCCTAACGGGAGTTACAGCAGAATATTCTGGGCCTCTTTTGAGTGAATCTCCCTGTATATATATATATATATATATATATATATATGTATGTATGTATGTATGTGTGTGTGTGTGTGTGTGTGTGTGACGTGTGTGTGTGTGTGTGTGAGACGTGTAGGTGCAGGATATTCTCAGAAAAGAGCTACAACAAAAACACACCTGCAGGAAACGAAGTGATGAACATTAACAAACACAAACTTTACTAGGTTTAAAATCCTTAAACACCTTAAAGCTGAAAAAATTTCAGGATGTAGTCTTCAATCTAGCAGTCGTATCTATATTTGTCTCTGAGCTCACTGATGTTATGACACACAGAACAGGTGCCTATAAAATGTGTACTTCTTGCAAAGAAGTATCTGACTGATACAACCTGATACACAATCAACACAGCAGGCAAAATGATGATAGATGTGTCCAGTTTAGTGTCCAGTAATCAGGTGTGTACTTCAGTGGCTTAGGCTGTGAATAATGAAGCTCTTGTTTGTTCTTCTCCTCAGCCTTGAACACTACAGTTCAGATAAAGCCTGGTGAACACCTGGTCCTGGACTTGGATGTATCAGAAGAAGTGGAACTGCTTTATAACAGTACAGGTTCAGGTAGACCATCCAGTGGTCAGATGTGTACAGTGATAATACGGTCACTACAGTGTAAACCTGAATATGAACAGAGAGTTTTGGCTGCTCTTCATCTGAGAAATGTGACTCCATCTGATAGTGGAGTTTATACTGTAATGGACGCCAGGAATGAAGAGGTCATTCACACCTACACAGTGACCGTGGGGTCAGCAGGTGGAGGTGAATTAAAGGGTATGTTATTGCATGCTTTCTTTAGTTCAGTCAGAATTCACTGAGCAGGAATCTGCTGCTGGGCTTAATTGTGTTTTAGTTAAAAGTCAATATGTTACAAATATGTTTTTGGTTTATCTGGACACAGATAAAGGAGCTGCTGTTCCAGCCTGGGTGACTGTACTGGTGGTTGTACTTGTGGCTGTGATTGTGGGATTAGCGGTGAAGATTGTGCAGCTGAGGAGAAAAATTCGGGAGCTCCAGGCAAAGAATGCGTGAAGGATAAAAGGAAAGAGTTTAAATGAATGACCTCAGTAAACACAGTCCAGAAGAGGAGAGCCTGTCATTCTCCAACAATGACCAGAAGAAACTGATCAAACTCTTCCTTTATCTTTTCTTCTCTTTCATTCTTTCCTTCTCTTGCTCTGTGTTTATATCCATGCATGATGGTGGCTACTGAAATGTATCTGCTCTTCATCTGTAATGTTGAAATGTAACGTTTTATTTTATTACAGTTCTCTTATTCTCAGCTGAGGCTTCTATAGTTGTCTCATTCTCAGCTGAGGCTTCTATAGTTGTCTCATTCCCAGCTGAGGCTTCTATAGTTGTCTCATTCTCAGCTGAGGCTTCTATAGTTGTCTCATTCCCAGCTGAGGCTTCTATAGTTGTCTCATTCCCAGCTGAGGCTTCTATAGTTGTCTGATTCTCAGCTGAGGCTTCTATAGTTGTCTCATTCCCAGCTGAGGCTTCTATAGTTGTCTCATTCCCAGCTGAGGCTTCTATAGTTGTCTGATTCTCAGCTGAGGCTTCTATAGTTGTCTCATTCCCAGCTGAGGCTTCTATAGTTGTCTGATTCTCAGCTGAGGCTTCTATAGTTGTCTCATTCTCAGCTGAGGCTTCTATAGTTGTCTCATTCTCAGCTGAGGCTTCTATAGTTGTTTCATTCTCAGCTGAGGCTTCTATAGTTGTCCCATTCCCAGCTGAGGCTTCTATAGTTGTCTCATTCTCAGCTGAGGCTTCTATAGTTGTCTCATTCCCAGGTGAGGCTTCTATAGTTGTCTCATTCTCAGCTGAGGCTTCTTTATTCACCCACTTTACTGTCTAAAAGGTCTGAAGGCCCCTTTCATTACCACCAATTCAGCAACATACACTAGAACTCTCATTCTGAGGCTTGTGCACACTTTAACTCTCAGAACCTGGACATTATCAGGAGCCTTTCTCTGGTCATGGGCCTTGAGTCATCAGCTACTATTCCTGCTTTTCAATTCAAATAATTTCATATTTTAGTATATACATTTTTGTTTGCGACTGCGACCCAGAAGGATCAGCGGTTTAGATGATGTGTGTGTGTGTGTGTGTGTGTGTGTATTTGGGCAGCCACCTATTGCTTATCTATAGATGTTCAAACTGATAACAAATCACCTGCTGATTCTCAACCCTGTTGGAAGATCAAGGTCAGGGTGAGTTTTAGGTTTTGATTAGATGTTAGGATCAAGGTCAGGGTGAGTTTTAGGTTTTGATTAGATGTTAGGATCAAGAGAGCATTTCTAATGTCCAGAAGAAGACTGTCACCCCATCCAGTAATGACCAACGAAGATCATCACTAATCAATGTCTTGCTTTCTTTTATTATTTCTCTTTTGTTTTTTCATTCTTTTTGGGGGGACGTTCACTAAACAGAAATCATTTATACTTGTAAATGATGTAATATAGGTTTTAGAAATGATTTAATATCAGTGAATGTTGTTAATTGTGCCTTATTACAGATACCATGTGGTCAGTGTTGAAGGGCCAGGTGTAATTGTGTAATGGGGATACATGTTTGGCAACTTAAACTTCAGCGCTAGATTTGAAATGCTCTACTAAAAGGACACACCCCCTGTAAACCCGCCCCCAAATTCCAAACATCTGGAGTGCAATCAGTAACACAAGCACAACAAGCTACCCAGTGAAAAGCTACCGCTAGCTAACAGAGCTGTAAGAGCTAATGTTTATTTTTACTGCATTTAATGTGTTCAATCTGCAACATCTACACTCTTTTTTAACTAACAAGCCCAGGTTTTTGGGAATCTTTTCAGTCACACTAACTTATGTTATCAAGGGGTAATGTGAGCTGGATGTGAGTCCATTACAGGACCAGTGTGTATGTTTTTCTGTTTAAATAAAATCAGCTGAATTAATCATACAGTCTGTGTCAGTGTTTATAATTGTGTCTCTTTAAAGGGGAAGTCTACTTACTTTCAAAATTCTTGTGTAATTAAAGGATTAAAATGTAATCAGAGTGGTTCAGAGTGGTTTGGTGTGAAACGCTCTGTTCTAGAGAAACTTTCAGACTCAGAACTGTTCACAGTGGTGGTGATAGGAACCAGACGTCCACCTCTAAAAGCTCCCTCACAGAACATTATTACAGTAAATGGTTATGAATTCACTGCTGGTTGACTGAGACACTGTTTTATGGCAGTTTAGAGAAGGTTTTTGTCCTAAAATTAATTTTTAATCCATTCATAGTGCATGGATACATGCAGGGTGTTAAATTATGGGGAATTTTGAAAAATCAGTCGAATTCTCCTTTAAGTGCTCAAAGTTTTTTAAGTGTTTAATGTTTCTGTATTCTTTATGTGCCTATCTAATTTGGATTAGATCTAATAGGATTTTTCACAAATTCATATTACAGAAGCAAAACTGACCTTAATTTTATCCTACAGCATCTCATCTTATCTCTACTTAGCAAATCTTAACTTACTCGATTGAAGTCGACAATCAACTGTCATGTCTGTTGCCTAGCAACCAACCTTGTGCACACAGCTGAAATGCAAACGTAATCAAAATAAATAGGATAGTTAGCCAGAAAGCTAACATTAGCTAACGTTACTGAGGTAAAAAAGGTCAAACAGAACTAAAGTGTGCTAAACTGTAAGTTGTGAATATGAACTGAAACTAGTGCCTTTACCATCCACCATGCCAAAACTGTGTCACTGCACTTTAAATTCATGTACTGATACTAATATGGAAGTTTTAATTTTGCTGTAACTTTTAAATTAAGTTACAGTAAGTTCTGTGTTTATATATGTAATTGCATAAATTAGGATTGTGTCTAACTGTCTAAATGTCAGTAAGTGTGTTTACATGCACTCAATAATCCGATCATAATCTGATTTCTGCAGTTATCTGATTATTCAAATGGTCATGTAAACATCATACTCCGATCTAGAAATGCGATGAAGAAATCTGATAAAGAGGCTGGATTTCAGCTCAGTAATCAGATTTCTCAGTGCATGTAAACTATTACTCTGATTTCTTTCGGATTTCTCAGTCTGCGCATGTGCTAAAACACTTTCGGAGCGATGCTGAATCCGACTACATGGTTGACGAAATGAAGGATTGAAATGTTCTTCATCTTCTAGATGATGTCTGTTCATATTTTCAGGTAAAGTGGCACGACATTTAAAAAAAAAAGCTGTGGCATGAAGTTTGAGTTTTTTATGTTTACATTATGTTTACGTCGCGTCTTCTTCTGTGAGTTTATTGGCTGGTTGTAGAGCAGAAATCTGATTACTGTCTGACTCACACAGACCCAGAGTTTCCACATTATCTGATTACACATTACATTTTTGTAATGTTGCTGTGTCAGAAAAATAGATAGGTAAAGCTCATCAATATAGCAATAATCAGCTAAAATGTTAATGAAAGAAGAATACCACACTGCCTGTACTTCACCTCAGACTGTGTATAATCAGGACTCCACTCAGTGAAGTAGATCTCAGGGATTCTCTGTTGAAGTATTTTACAGTTTCAAACACCAGCTTTGATCCTGAAGAGGTGCTTTTATCTCAGCTGTACAATCAGAGAACAACACAGTAATAACAGCACATCACAACAAAGACACTCAGTTACTGCAGTTATTAATGTAAATAAAGTAATGTGCTCTGTCAGTGTAATAAATAAAAATATATTTTTTACAATCGTTTGTCTGAGTCTAAATTATGAGCAATCAGTTACAATTACAGATCAGACATTTTACAATTTCACACGGTTCCCAAAGGCACCCGGCACAGAACTCCTCTGTTCTGTCCCACCTCACCAGCTAAAAATGACAACACACACACACTTCTGGGTCACAGGGGGTGCTGGAGCCTATCCCAGCAGTCATTTGGCAGAAGGCAGGAAATACAAGCCATGTGTAAAAATGAGAGAGAGTGATTGCATACTGGGCATGTTTGCTAGGGAACTGGATCCAGAATACCAGACTGTCTGTTAATCTCACACCAACTTATGAGAATCAAATGAACATACTATTAAAAGCAGAGCTTATAATAAAAAGAAGCTTTAGTATCCTCACCCAGTGAACCTGGACCATGAGCAGACTGTGAGAACTGTCTTGCTGTTAACCTGCTTCCTTGCTAGATGTGTTTCTGTAGGCCACATGATCAAGCAGTCTGTTGAATCCAATAGTCAAGTCTAACACACAAAGTAGAGCTGTGTTACAATACTGGAATATAATGAAATTTACAGTGGCATATTTGTAGTGTAACCCTCAGAATATCAGCCCAAATGCACATCCAGAGGGTGATTCTACAGAGTTCGTGAGTCCTGAGGGCCAAACTCTAGATTATCAGAGGAATCTGATGTAAAGTCATGATATAATACTGTATTACATTTCTGAATAAGAACATTCACAGTGGCATTCCAATGCTGTTATCAACCGCATATCACATAACAGCTTGTATGCGCAAAGGCTCTCCACTTAGGAGATCAGTATTTCCTTAGTATTTCTCAAGCTGATATTATTAAACAGTCTGTTGAATCTGACACCAGTTTATGAAAATCAGACCAACAAAAACAGGGATTACAGTAAACATTACTGCATCTGTTATTTTATTCTCTCTAAATTATATGAAAAGACTAAGATAGAACTAATTGTCTTTTCTGAGTAATTAAACAAAATAGTCTGTTGATTCTGACATGATGCTATAAAACACAAATTAATACTCAATATAAACCTGAATTATAACATTTACTGTAGCATATTTTTCTTTGATCCTCTGAAAATAGCATATTAGCTGCAATGCACAGCCACAGGCCTATTTCCCTTTATGAGCCTTTCCTGTAGGCCTGACTCAAGATTACCAAATATCCTGTTCATTCTGACACCAACATATGAAAATAGATCCACATCATGGATTACATGAAATATAGAAACAGCAGAAAGAAATATAGAAACTGATTCCTGAGGCGCGGACACTGCCACTCACATAGCTGTGTACAGTTCAGTCTGCTGCTATTTGTACATACCGTGACTGTCTACAGCTTCTTTAGAAAATCTATACAAAGTAAAAGTGTAAACACTTATAAAGTGTAAAATGATTAATTAAAGCATTCGTCCATATCTCGCATTTTAATCAGAACTATTCGTATATGTGTCGATTATTGTACTGCATTTGCTTGTTTGGGTATTAGCTAGCATAGCAACAAACACAACAGGCTCCTTTTTCTCTCACCAGTTCTCTCACGAGTTTGGTGCCGCTCTGGTGAAATCACCACGCAGCCTCGTTAGGACTGACCCATTTGTGTGACCAATAGGCTACAAAGGAGGAATCTTCATAGGTCAGTCCTACTGAGGACCTGCACTACATCAGCTGCAGCCTCGGCTTTGGAACGCAGCTCGTATCAGACTCTATTCTTTGTTTTGTAGACCATTTCAGCAAGAGGCACTGCACACTGCTCTTCTTTTGTCCTTTTTGCTGAGAAACCTTTCAGGAATTAATATTAATCTGATGGTGCAAAATACTCACTCAACTGAAGAACATCACTGTAAGGGCAGATGGGAAGAACATACGGGAGTTATGTGTAAATGTGTAGTCTATCTCTTTAAAAAACATAACGAGTAAGGAATATATGCAGTGTGTGTGATTTGGACTGATGAAAATAACGTTTGTTCATTAGGAGATATAGTTTTTATCCAGTTTTTACAGTGTAGTCTAGGGGACTTTCAGCATTTCACAACAAGGTCTTTGGAACTTAATTAATAAAAGGAAATAAAGTTTCAAACTAGAATATGGAAAAGTTAAAGAAAGTTAGCATCTCGTCTCTTTTATCGTGCTGGTACTCGTCTTTAACACAAAATGGCTGTGCAACGGTGAAGAAAAGAATGTTCTGGAACATCTTCCACCGTCCTCTGAGCTGAGGCAAAGACCACCCACTGGCGCCACCCACTTGCGGTGGATTGCGGTGGAGGATGCAGAACAGACAGGTGACAGGAGGCCCAGGTGAGAGCAGAAGGAGAGAGAGCTCATCGTGGAGGTTCTCTTGTTTTCATAGACCGGACAGACTTTAAGTAGGTAACGGGTAAAGAGTGAGCTGGAAAGGGTAAAAATGGTCCACTTTTGAGGGACTTACACATCAATCTCAGCCCTTCCTTCCCCAGAGCAGACAGACTACACTGTTCTGTTGCCTGTTTGAACAGCTCATGTTCTCCGCTCAGTTGTGTTCTCATTACAGCCACAGCTATTTTTGTTCAGCTCTAATGGACAGCATGAAACACAAAGACTTTATTTTTTTAAATTTTTCTTTAACAAGAGACTCACTGTGCTTTCTGGAGAATGTAGTGGTGGCTAGAGACTGTTTTGGTCAGTCATGGTTCAAACCGTATACCAACACTTGATATTTGCTTTACTAATTGTCCAGAAAATATTGTCATTACTTGCTCAAACTTAAGAGGACAATGACTGAGTTACTTACTCTTCCAAATTTCAAAATAAGGGAATTTTCAATAGAGTCCAGTAAAAGAGTAAAAACCAAAACAAGTTTGTGATTAAGTTAATTAAATAAATGGAAGACAACTTCATTTCAAATTATTTATCAAAAAAGCTCAAGTGACATAAGATAAACAGCTATAATGGATGGAAAACTGTGAAAGTTTACACTCCGTAAAAGCTGCTTGAGGAATCTGAGCACACTACAGTCCTCACTCTCTTCTGCCCATAGGAGTGACCATAACGAGCTTCCAGTCCAGCTGAAGATCCTGCAGTCCAGCTCTTGTGGTTGAAGCTGTGGACTGCTGCTCCTGTTTCCGCACCTTCTTCATTCCATCTTCTCCTCTAGTGAACTTCTTGGACGAGCTGAGAAACGAGCTCCACTTGGCTTCTTAAGGTTCGTGTCCACC